TCCCTTGTCCAGGATTCTGTTTTAACCTTGCATATTCTTACATTCACTTTGGTACATGCACTGCTAATCTGCTTTGAGTTGGGAAACCCCATGACAGGTGAATAAAGACTGTTTGCTAATAGAATTCTTGACGTTCAGGCTCTGTCAGGATCACAGCTGTGAAGGGCAGTAGGTTTTTAGGCCATGAGCTGTTTGAGCTAGATATCTCTTGAGGCTATTTTTGTCTGCTGCCAGGTGGAAATCTGAATTTATAGTTTGATTTGTGGTTAATTGAACCATTATTGTTCTTGTCTGTGTCAGGGAACTTGCGTTCTAGATCCTCCAGTGGTTTCTGGGCCTATTTAATTGCTCCTTGCTAGACAGTTACTTTAGATATTTGAGAATGGTGATGACAGCTTGTCTCCCAGTAACACATGATAAATTCAATTATATTAAATGTCTAATCTATATTTTCATTGAACTTTCTATTATATCAAAAGCTTGTTCAAATAGTTTTCTAAAAAACACCAGAAACTGCAGTTAAAAAGAAAACGCCTTTAAACAAAAATGTTTGATTTCATTCATACTAAAACTACATAATCTGAAACTGTCCTGAGGTACAATTTCTCACCTGTGAGATTGATAAGAATACAAACGTAATAACATGCTCTCTTCTGGGACTGGTACTTTTACATCTCGTTGGTGAGGCTACAAAATGGCACAGCCCCTATAAAGACAGGCACTTTTACTCATCGATCAGCAGTCCTTTCTCTTGGACTCTACCTTCAGGTACCTGTATGAAGAAGTCATGTTCAGGAGTATGTACTGTGGCCTTTTTATATTAACAAATTTAGAAATAGCCCAAGTGGTCAGCAATATGCAACAGATTAAATAAATAATGATGTGTCCACCTGATGGACTGTCCTGTAGTTATAAGGGAGAGGAAAGGTCTCCAGGAGATACTGTTCCATGACCAAAAGCAAGGTGCAGAACAGTGTCTGACTCCTTTGTACTTACATTTGTATTAAGAATTTTGAAGGTAATGTACCTGAAAGTGGAAGAAAATGGGATTTGTGTAGGAATGGGGCTTCTCAGTGTCTGTTTATTTAGTGTAGACATCTGAGCCATGTAAATGTACCCTGTATTCAGACGTAACAAAGAAACCTCTCACTTCACAAGGAAAATATTCTCAAAGCAATCCTTGATTGAATAAGCCTAATTCTAATAAAGGCCTACAGAGCAATAGCCAACTCCACAGACTCGTCCTAAAGCAACCTGCCCAGTCGAGAGGGCAACTTGGCTGTGTTTGTGTTTGACGTTACATTGCGGGGGGGGGGGGGGGGGGGGTCGGGCATTACAACTATTTTAGCAGTCTCTTTTCCTCATCCTCTAAGCCAGTGGGGGAGCACAGGTGTCACTCCTCGGGCTTTGCTGCTCACAACAGATGGGCCATGTTTTGTTTTGTTAGTGGTAAGCTTGAGTTAGCTTTCTCAGAAGCCTCTTTGAAGGCAAGTTAGTAAACTCCCATTTAAGTTGTCCCTGAAAAGAAGAAAACTATAAAAATAGTGGTCCTTACATCAGTGGTAATGTGAGGCAGATTCTTTTTTTTTTTAAAGATTTATTCATGCATATAAGAACTGAGGTACAGGCCAGAGGTGTGGGGGAGAGGTGAGTGGATTCACTACAGAGTGTATCTACTGAAATACACTGCTGAGGGGGAGCAGCGGGTGAGTCAGGAGAGGTCTGCTGCACCATGTGGGTAGCGCCCTGGCTGGGGATCAAACTCGTGTTGCAGTGGCTGCCCATACCTTGAGAGCACTGAGACTAACTCCTGTGCTACCAGGGAGACCCGCCAGATTCTGTTGCACCTCTTCTCTTGGACAAGTAGGGTGAATTCTGAAGATCACTGGGGAGACCTTCATTTGTTAAAAGTCCTTTCCCTGTGTTTGGCAAGATAAAGATAAATATTGCACTTTATCCTATGTACACTCTCAGCAATTCCTGTCTTATGCTCCCAGCCAATCTGCTTCCTCCCTGAACCCCTCTCTTGGTGGATGGCATCTCGATTTCATTAGCCAGCCCACCCCTGAGATACCTGGAGGCCATCCTAGGAACCCCCTCCCTTTCAGCACCTCCTTCACATCCAACCAGAGTTCTGGGGAAACTGCCAAGCCAGCCTCTTTTCTGTCCTACACCACTGACATAGTGCAGCAGCATCTTTGGTTGTCCATCCCTGATCTTGCTTCCCTCCAGCTTGTTGCCTGCTCTGCTTCCAAAAGATCTAAGTGACCACTCAGATCATGCTGCTCTCTATGTAGTCCCTCGATGATTCCTGCTCCCACTTATGCCCCCAGCAGAGGAGGTGCAGGTTGCAGGACCTGGACCAAGGCCTCCTGACCTTGTTCCTTGCCTTTTCCCATTCTAGAACATTGCACTTCAGTGCAGGAATCAATCCCAGAGTTAGACAAGCAATTCTTGGTTTGTGAAAGAAGTGGCAGTGGGCATCTCACAAAGTCATGTGTCCTGGCTGGTCACAAATCTTGCCTTGTATGGTCTTCCTCATCCCTCACTGCCTCTTATAAGCTCTGGGTTTTGTAATTGCAATTGCTACTCTTGTTGGAAGCCCACTTCTATGCCCCTTTGTCCACTTACTTCTGTGTAGCCCACAGCATGCATCCTGGAGGGACCTACCTGGAGATGACTTCTGTGACCTGTGTCTCTCTCCAGTTAGACTTAAATGCCTTTTTCTTGGTAGCAATCTGTCATAGCTAGCATAAAACTTAGTTGTTTATTTCCCATCTGACCACCAAATTAGTAGCTTATCATTAAGGAGACAGACTGTTTTTGTCTCTATATCCTAAGTATGTAAACACATACTTAGGATAAAGGAGTAGTAGCTACTTTAAAAGGATGAATGAATGATTCAGTACATGCTTTGATAAATGAATATGTGAGGGCTCATTTGCATGCAGGAGCCTTGTGCTTAATAGAGATTGCATTAGCCTACTTAGCTGTCTTTGCAATTTACTGTTTATCAGAAAGGAACTTTTACAAGTTTTAAAACCTCCTCCTTAAATGTTCATTCTAATTGTTAATATAAAAGAACAGGCTTAGGTAGCTATGCAGTCTTTTAAGAAAAGATACTCCAGAACTTGTGATAGGAAAGGAAAATGTTTTCTGATGCTCTAGAGGAGATTCATGTTAAAGTGGGGTGAATGAATTAACGTCTAAGATACTTCCAGTTCTCAGGTTCAGTGACTTTATTATCTAGATCATGATTGCTAGATACCAAGGTGATTGCTAGATACCAAGGTACTTCAGGTTCTGTGACTTTATTATCTAGATAATGATTGCTAGATACCAAGTGATAGCCAGATACCAAGATACAAATACAAATAGAACACAGTTCTTGTGCATTAGACATTTCAGTAGTTTAAAATGTATGTTTGTGTCTTTTTTGAGTTATAATGATTATATATATATATGAACACATGTATGTATATATATTAGATTATGTGAAGTTTAGGTATTGTGAATTTTTTTATAACCATTGCCCATTTCTGCTAGTTTAAAACTTGACTTGTAAAGTTCTTTTAAAGTTTTCTTTGTTTAATAGTTTTTCTTAATATTACAAATATTTTCTGTTTGCTGTTTGTCTTCCTAAAGGCTTTTCTCATTACAATTGTACAAATAGTCTATGGCCATAACCCCCCTGAACGTGCCCAATCTCGTCTGATTTCGGAAGCTAAGCAGGGACAGGCCTGGTTAGTATTTGGATGGGACACCGCCTGGGAATACTGGGTGCTATAGGCTCTAAAAACAAAAACAAAAAAGAGGGTTGAGTGCAGTGCTGTGAAGCTGTCCGCAGCCTCTGCAGCTGTCCGCGGTCTCTGCGGCACAGGTTCCATCCTGTCCCACTGGGGAGATACCCACATGGCGTGGCAGACCTCTCCTGTCTCGCCTGCTGCTCCCCTCAACAGTGTCTTCGGTCATCTGCCTGTTCTGTTCCCCACTCTGTCTCTCGTGAATCCTCTCACCCTTCCGCACATCTGGCCTGTGCCCAGTTCTTGTAGCATGAATAAAAGAATAAATCTTTAAGAAAAAATTATACAAATGTTTGCTAGTGTTTTTCTAGCACTTAAATGGTTTTATTTTTCCTCAAAAAATCCCTAATCCATTGACTATTTGCTCTTATGTGTGTTATGAGATAAGGATCTGACTTTTCTTTCCAGATGATTAGCCAGTTAATCAACACTATTTATAAATTAGTCTTCTTCCATGAGGTATAGTACTTTTTTGTCTTCCACTATGTCTCTTTGTTCTTTTTGCCTCCAGTTGAAGTTTGACATTTTCATTTTCTGTGAAATTTACAGTTTTATTCATTTTCTGAATAGTAGCTAGTTATTTTCCATTTAGGAAAAGGGAGAATTACATGGTGTAGAGAAAGACATGCTTGTTCCTTCAAAGAAGTAGTCATAAATAAGAAACACATTGGTATGTTGTCCAACGAATATTCCAGATACTTGGTAGGATTGTATGGTCTGACTTTGTGGTTGGCTGAGGCCATGTGACTAATTCTGACAAGTTGTGAGTGGACATGAATTGGGTCAGTTAGACCATTTAATGCTGGTGTGAGCCTTTTCAGAACTCTTGCTGGATGATGACTGAGAATTTTCAAGATAGTGACTCCCCTTCATTTTAGATTCCCAAATGACAATGATAAGGAAAGTTCTCCTGTTCTCCTGCATTGGACATGTAGTGTGAGCAACATATAAACCATATTATTATAAGCCAGTAAGATTTAGAGGTGGTTTCTAAAACATAACATAGCTCATCCTGAATTATATACACAATATCTTTTAGTATTTCCATTTGGATTGTCATCAACTGAACATAAGTTGGCACCTTTCTAGGGGGAAGGCATTCTTTCATGTATACTAAATGAGGGTAGTGAGAAAGAAGGTAATTTTATGAAAAAACCCTTTAAGTAATAATTTTGGGATGTGTTTTTTTTTCCCCAGGTAATTTGGAACTCTCAAAATGTTTGCAAAAGCAACAAGGAATTTCCTTAGAGAAGTTGACTCTGGTGGTAACCTGATTGCAGTATCTAACTTGAATGACTCTGATAAGTTACAGCTTCTAAGTCTGGTCACCAAAAAAAGGAGATTCTGGTTTTGGCAGAGACCGAAGTATCAGTTTTTATCTGTCGCCCTTGGAGATGTACTCACGGAAGGCCAATTTCTGAGTCCAGGTATGTTTCTTGAGATACATTCTACAACTTGTCCCAAAATAGAAGATAAATCTTCTTTTAGACATGTGTTGTCTTGAGTGAATATAAGGTATTATAATCACTCTTATTCCCTGTTTTTTTTGCCTATCATTTAAAAAGACTATCCTCTCAAAGTGAACAAAATTCTGTAGACCCATAAAAATAATATTGCTGATTTTGATATAAAAGGAACACATGGCTATTTATGGATGTTGCGGTCAACAACATCAGTGGGATGACTCTACTACCCAAAATTTGGTGTTGAGGATGATGATACCTCAATATCATGCTCAATAAGAGGGTGTGAAAAGTGTTATTCATGCAATGAAGCTTTCTAACGAGTGCAGGACAGGTTCCTAAGCTGGTCTAGAAATGGCCAGATAGAAGGGAAGATAAGGAGATAGGCTTAGCTTTTATTAGGTTAGGATGTGGGGCTGTGGTGAGGAGGCCCCGTGTGGGATTTGCGAGGTTTGAGCTTGCTGCAGGTGCCAAAGGAGGGAACTCTGGTTTCTCACCAACTTGCCCATGTGTGTAACAGAAAGGGAGGAGGGTGTGGGAGCTTGAGAGCAGTCAGCAGCCAAGCATCAAAAGTAGAATCAGACTCATTATGACAGGAAAGTATTTTTAGAATGTAGAAGGGCATGAGGAAGAAAATAAATTGGCACAAATTTCACCAAGGGTTACTTCCTGGTAATACTTGGATTGTAGCCACCTTTGCTCTTTAACTAAATTTTTTTATACCACATCATATTTTATGTTCACTGTAGGGATTTTCTTTTAAGATTTGTAATTTTTATTTATGCATACAAGAACTGGGGTGTAGGCCAGAGGTGTGGGGGGGTGAGAGGATTCACCAGAGACAGAGTAGGGGGCAGAACAACTGGATCTACTGAAATACACTGCTGAGGGGAGCAGGGGGTAAGACAGGAGAGGTCTGCTGCACCATGTGGGTTCTCTTCCCCAGTTGGGCATCCAACTCAGTGCTGCAGTGCCTGATGATAGCTTGATGGCCCTGTATCTTTAACCCCTGCACCACCAGGGAGACCCTCTTCAACTAAAATTTTTAAACAAAACTGGAAACATACATATACTTTTTCTCTATTTGTTTTTTATTTAACCTTATATGTTTTTCTTCATGTTTTTAATGCTAGTTTCAACAAACATGATATTCTCTTGTGTGTATGCACCCTAATTTAACTGTTTCAGTTTAATGCTGAATAAGACTGCCATGAATATTTTTGAATTTTTGATGTTTTTGTTTTTCCTCTAAACAATTGCTTTAGCATAGGTTCTTCGTGGTAGAATGAGTAAACAGAGGTTGGGGGCTTTTACACTGGTTTTTGCAACATGGTGATATATGGAAGTATCATGAGTTCTTAAATATTGGACCAAATGATGTCTGAATCCTCTTTCAGCCTGAAAGTAATGTGATTTTATGATAGTATCTCTCCATTCAAGCAAGAATAGAAGAGATCAGTGAGTTGACAATTTCCAAACTTTCTTCAAGATAAGCAGCCAAGCCAGTTCTGTCTTTGGCCAGGCTCACTCTCAGAACTGCCCAGCACTGGACAGATGAACTGCTCACAATTTTATGTCATCACCCCCTCCTGGATATTTTGTGCTTTCTGGTAGAACTTTTATTGAGTAGTGAAATAACTAAATGTGAGTATGGGCAAGAGAAAAAACTTCACAAAATAGACTATGGACCCCTGAATAATTTGCATTTCACTGCTGTGCTGTTGAAGTGCCCCTTCTGGGGTGTCCTGAGAGATCTGGGAGACTCACATGGGATAGTGAGGCCAGATGTAGTTGTACCCCTGAAGGTGCCCAGATAGGCTAGTCAGCTCAACCCAGAGCTCAGCTCTGGTTCTGGGTCCTGTTGGCAGCGGGACTGTCATGGGTGGGGTCCTCTAGTTTGTCTGCTGAGCAGATTCAGGAGGCTTCCCCTACATTATTTTTGTCAAACTTGTGGGTTTGTGTTGACCTGGGATGCAAAGGTTGGGGGGTGGTAACTTGACTGCTGGCAGCCCCCGGGAGAGTCTGTTGGTTCCCTCACTTTTCCCTTGCACCAGCAGCAGCCGATGACTTGATGCACAAGGGTGATGAAACTCCTCCTCTTGGCACTGTGTTTAGAGTGACTTTTAGGGATACACAATCTTGATTGTCCCGACCCACTGTGGGGTCCAGTCCCAGGGACAGAGTTTCCAGGAATAGCAGTAAGCCTGATTGAGACCAGCTGTGTTCTGAAGCGAGCGTTGCTGTCTGGATATAGCCCCGTGTAAAACAGGACTGTCTTGCTTAACAGAAAGTGATACTGCTCTGCTGTAAACTCAGTGGGTCGATTGAGCACTTGCTATTTGCAGGGCTCTGTATTAGATATGTTATATGCATCAACTTGCAACAGAATCCATCAGGTAGATATTAATTATCTCTAAATATTTGGCAAACTTGAGGTTTGGGGAGATGAATGTTATCCAGTGCCCCCCAGCTAGGAATATTAGCGAGAAAACCTGGAGCTCTTAACAGCTGCGCTCTCCTGCTTCCCATGTCGTTTCCCAAAGTGTGCTCTTGCTAGTTGATGTTAATAGGAGGAGGCTTTGACTTGGGAACATTTTCATAGCTGCCGCCTTTTTTTTTTTTTTTTTTTTTTTTTTTTAGGTGGTGGTGGTGGAGGTGAATCTCTACTTTATAAATTGCAAGGATAGTGAATGGTGATTAATTCTCGTGAACCTGGTTAGGGAATGGGAATGGTTTTCACAACTGGAGTGAAAGAAATACAAGTGTTTGGGACAGTGAGTAGATGGAAAGAAGCATTTCAGTTTCTGAGAGGATTTGAATACCTTATGAAGTACATACAACCGGGAGCTCAGAACCACCTGGGGTCAATTTCCTTTGGGTCAGGGAAATTGAAGAGGCCCAGTTGAAGTCCTCAGGAGACTGGATGTAGCCTACTGAATGATGATAACTGAGACTTTTTTTTTTAATTGAGACTCTTTATGTTAGTATTTGGTTGGATTAAAAATGAACAGTAGAGGTGTGGAGATAGAAGCCTGGCAGTTGAAGTATGAGATTAGCAGATGTTTATCTTTAGGGTTCAGATCCAAAGGGGAGATCTGGAAGGCAATCTAATAGCAAATAGGAGGTATGGCCATGAGGAACAGGGCAGTTCCAGGTGGACATAATTGAAGACGGGTCACCAGCGAGGTTGTGGCACCTTAAGAGTCTGGTGAGCCAGGGAGGCAGAGTGGAGGGTTCGGAGTGTGTGTGTTCCCAAAGGCTGGAGAGGAAAAAGAAGGTACACCCATTGACTTTATTGGGAAGATAAGATAAGGAATTGCATGATGAGGGACTGAAGGATAGGGTGGAGGTCAGATAGAATGAGGTAAGTATGGGAAAGATAAGTATGGGAAAGAAATTATTTGCTTGGAGATGGTGATCAAGGCCAGGGGAATGTTCTCCAAGAATAGTGGGGAGGAAGGGGAGGTACCAGGGACAGGTTCAAGTGGCCAGCCTGCCAGAGCTGAGGAACATGGGCCCCTGGAGTGTACATTCTCGGGGGGGCTGGGGAGATGTGGCTTTCTCTCTGCTGAGGTGTCATCCTCAGCTTCTCCCTTTAGTCTTTACCCTGGGAAAGGCACATATTTAAACTATTGTTTCTGCCCCTAATAGTGGTCAAATAGATGTTTGCTTTAAGATTATTTGCCAAACTCTACAAATACATTCTGTGCCCTTTCACACACACGCGCACACACACAGAGGAATCCATGTATGTGAGAGAGATGTGTGTGTATATATATCTGATATATATATAATATATATGCTAAAAATTGAAAGATAAAAAGCACTATGCTAAGAATTGAAAGATAAACAACCCAAACCAGCACCTAGTAGAGCCTTTGGCTCCCAGTTCACATCATGCTCTCTGTCAGCACTCAGGGGGGCGGCTCCCTTTTCTTGCCATCCCCGCAGCGTGACTGCCAGCTATCCATTGTGTGTGCGGCCTCATGTTTCCCAAGGGTCGGCACAGGTTTGGAGAGCTGGGTGATCTAAGGCACAGATGTGGCCATATCGTCATCAGATTTTTTCATGTCTCTTTCATTCCAGTGGTTGTGGAGTCGGACTTTGTGAAATACGAGGGCAAGTTTGAAAACCAAGTGAGCGGGAGCATCGAGACGGCCCTGGGGAAGGTCAAGCTGAATGTGGGTGGCAAAGGGCTGGTGGAGAGCCAGTCCTCTTTCGGAACCCTGAGGAAGCAGGAGGTGGACCTGCAGCAGCTCATACGAGATTCCGTTGAGAGGTAATGAGAATTCTGTTTGGCATTTTGGGTTTGACATGTCTCACATTTAAAGGTCTCTTAGTTGGACCTTTGTTTAAAGGTAACAGTTGGGAACGTTGCCAATCAACAAACATTTATTGAATAGCCCCAGTGCAAAAACTCTCTAGGAACTAGTTCTTTATTCTCGACTTTACTGACTGTTCTTAGCCTGAGGGGGAGACTTGGGAAGCATTTTGAAAGGGTGTTACTTCAGGCAAATATGTACTTTTTCCCAATCATTCAATTTTCAAAATGCCAACAGAGAGAATGCTCTGGCCTACATTTTTAAATATTAATATTAGCATTAAGAAAATCATACCCCCACCCCTGGCTCTTTATAATTTTCTGATCAGAAAAAGAAGAAATTGAAGAATGTGAGGGGCTTCAGAGAAAAGAGCTGGTTTTCAACTTTGAAGTCTTGAAGCAAACCCTGTATTTATTCATTGTTTAGCTTTTAATAAATATTTTACCCCAGTCTAACTCCTCCATATTTTCACCTTACACTCATTCAACATTCAGTAAATAATTTTATCAGGTGCCTGCTATCTGCAGGGTACTGTTCTATATGCTGGGGGTATTCTATATGTTGGGGATAGTGCCTGAACAAAACACCATTTCTGTCCTACATTCTTGGGGAAGAAATGCAAAATGTATAGCTAAGTAAAATATAGAATAGTTTGGTAGCGAGTGATGGTGTGGAAAAAAGTATAACAGGACAGGAGAGGATAGGGTGTGCAAGGGATTGGGCTGAAATTTGAAAAAGTGGCTAGAGAAGGCATCCTGGAGAAGGTGGCATTGGAGGAACACAGACTTGCAGTTGGGGAGGGGGCACGCACTGGGGCATCCTGGGCAAGAATGGGTGGCTGGGCCTCCCTGGTGGCCTAGGGGTTAAGTGTCAGCTCTGTCACTGCTATGGCCTGAGTTGGATCCTCAGCCTAGGAGCTAATCCACTTCTGGCACAGCAGACCTCTCCTGTCTTGCCTGTTGCTTCCCTTAACAGTGTATTCCAGTAAATCTACCTCTTCTGCTCCCCACTCTGTATCTGGTAAATCCTCTTACCCTCCCACACCTCTGGCCTACACCACAGCTCTTCTATGCAAAACACACACACACACACACACACACACACACACACACCCAACCAGAGCGGGAAAGAGTGAGTGGCAGACCCCCAGGATTGCATAGACCATGGGTCAAACTTTAACTCTTGCTGGAGTGAGATGAGAAACCACTGAAGACTATGAGCAGGAAAGTGATGTGATCCCACTTATGTTTTAGAAGATCATTTTGGCTTCTGGGTTGAGAAGAGACCTGCTGGCGGAAGCAGGGAGTCCAATTGAAGAGGTTATTGCCACAATTCTAATGAGAGATGATATTTCAGTTAGTACAGTAACATGTGCATATTTTTTTCCTTTAAAAAGAAAGTGCAAATCCAAATTAAGGAAACTCACGTGTAAGTATGAGTGGCTTATCTTCTTTTTTGCAAGTTCTTAGGAGTCTATCAAATATAAAATACATTTGCTTATTGAACAAAATTATGTTTAAAAAATGAATGAGTAACAGATGCCATCATAGGCACGTATGGAACATCTCGGCAGATTTTGTTGGGCAACTGCAGTCTTCAAAACCCATTCACCTCCCAGTGGCCTCTGATGCTTACTGGAGTTGGAAGCTGTTGCCTGTGCCTCCTGGCACTCCCTGGACACCAGGACTCAGTCAGGAATTCCCTTTGGGTCAGAGAACTTCAAACACTCTCTGGTGGCACCAGGTGGAAGGAACAGCCTCCTCTGTCTCTAGAGGCCATGATCTTAATTTTCCTTTCTCTACTGCTTTTCTTCTCTGGCAGAGAAGTATTTTCCTTTCCTGCTACAATGCATGGGACATGATAGAAAAATACTTGTTTATCAGAAAAAATTTAACTGGGTGATCTGCATTTTCATTTGCTAAGTCTGGCAAATAAAGGAGAAGAGACAGGAGGCCTGGGGTGTCCAGGGGCCTCTGCTCCCTTAGTCACCAAGGCCTCTTTAGAGCTCAGTTCTGTTCCACAGTCTTGTTATTTCTGTTTCTAGAACTGCAGTCTGGCAGCACTCTGTAATCACATTTCCCGATATAGGTTTTTCAAACACTCTTCATGATTCAGGTGTAGGAGACCATGCCAACAGGAAGCCTGTGGGAGGGGTCAGTGAGTGGAGATGGGAGAAGATATTCTCCTGTGAAGAGAAAGAACCAGCTAGTGAGTGGGGGTGGGAGGCAAGGAGAGGGGATGCGGAAGGGCACATGCACACGGAGCACCTGCTTTGTGCCAGGCACTCACGGACATCCCCTCTCTCACTCTGCTGAGCTGCCACAGGAGAGAAGCTGAGACTCAGGAAGGAGTGATGTGTGCTCAGCTCCAGAGACTATCTTGGGTGCTGGAGCTGGGATTCAACCCAGGAATTTCTGGCTCCAGAGCTCCAGTTCTTGCCTCTAAATCATGCTTAGTGACACTTTGCAGAAAGTGGCTGAGGTCAGTTTAGCTAAAATTATAGTACAGAAGGTAAGGGCAGAGGCGTGAATGCGGGTTCCTTGTGAGGCCAGCTGGGTGTGCACAGTGGCCTAGAGGAGTCTGCTCAAGCCCATGTGACTAGTGGGCCAGTCTCCTGGGATTCCTGCATGCGGGATGAGAGCACCTCGGGAGGGTCTGCAGAAACCCTGCTCCTTGGGAAGTGATGAGAAAGTTTGGGGGTGGCTGTGACACAGGAACAAGCAAAGAACAAATGCCTGGTCTAGAAATGGAAGAGGTGACTTGTCACGGTCACCTCTGTCTTGTTCTGCTGTTTAGAGGTAAAGGTGAGCTACAGGGAGGGATGAGTCTGGGCGGGAGGACTCCGGGCCAGGGGATGGAGATCGGGCTGCAGTAGGATGGTTTATCTGTTGTCTCTGGACTCCCACATTGACTGATAAAATGCTGTTTGGCACGCGTGTGGCCTTGGGAGTGGTGATTAGTAATGCTTAAATGCCATACATTCTCCAGGGCTGATCTGCAGTTACTTTTATTTCAGGTTATTTAGATAAGTTGTCATCTGTATACATGTTGCTTTTGCCCTGAGAATTCAGAGCAATAGCTTTATTGTCAGGAGATGTGTGCATATCTCAAACTTCATTTATTTAAAACAACAAGCAGTGTTATGTAGCTATATATAGCATTTAGCATGCTGGGCACAAAGGCATTCCATGGGAATTAACCTTCCAGATACCTAGAGCTCCCCCTTTGAGTGAAAGCTCTGTGTTTATCTGAAATCATCCTTGATGGAAACTGTGCTAACATAGATCACATGCTTCTCTCTCTTCCTAATGCAAAATACCACATTTATTAAGATCTTTTCATTGTGTCTCACATTCATGTTTTATTCTTAATTTAGCATTCTATTATAAACTCTTCAGTTGTTCTGCCTTGTCTTCCTGTCAGCTGCCATTTTCATGGCCTTAAGTATAACCACCACATCCCATCCCATTACTGCCAGCAGCTGGCTGCTCCCCAAACAAGTGTGGCCCTAGACACGGAGCCATGCCTTGGAAAAGCTGGAAAGTGCACAGTCTGTTCTCTGCATATGTTGTTTGTAGCAGGACATGCTTATTCAACTCTTGAATAAAGATGTATGAAACCATGCATAATATCAGTGAGACATCAGTACCTTGTCTTGGTCATCACATTCTTCATTGGGATGAGCACCTGTGAAGCATTCAGAGCCCCGCTAAATCCACTCTTTTTAAAAGATGTCTTTCCTGAGACACCCCCCCCCCAAGTCCATATCGCTCTCTGTGATGTCTGAAAGTTAATTTATTGCCATTCCCCCCTAAATTATGTCTCCTGCTTTAGTTGGTTTTAGTTCTTTAGATTAGGAGCTCCTAGAAGCATGTATGACCTTCTGTGACCTTCAATTGTTTTTATCCGCAGAAAAGTATAGCCAGCTGACCACCCCTTATGCAGGAGAGTAGGGCTAGAAGGGCCTTTTGAGAATTCTTTCCAACATTTCACCATTGGAGTGACTTTTGACATCTTTGAAAGCATCCTGTCCTATGAGTTTAACTTTTAAAGGCTACTTTAGATCTTTTGGGAACTAGGTAGGATTTACATCATAACGAAAGACATTCAAGTACTATTTTCTTCAATGATTGATAGACATTGTTGTATCCACTCTAAGATGCACTGCTATTTTCTATATCAACGAGGAAGAACACTGCCAAGTAACCATATCACCATCAATTTTAAAATATCTTGATTTCAGAAATATTAAGGTATGAAAAGTGTTTTAGAATTTTTGAGATACAGTGTACAAAATTGGGGTGGCTGGAGTGAGTCAGGAGTTAGAATTCAGGTGAGTGGATGTCTGTTTCCCCAGAGTATGCACCCAGTGTCTGACCTGGATTCTCCCCACCACTGAGCATCTCATCATCTCTCTAAACCAGTTCTCTGCCTGCCTCCTTCCAAGCTGCTGGTTGCTACAGCATAAACCCAGTAGTGTCAGCCAGAAAGAGGAGTATCAGATTTGGCTCCTTCCTTGCCTGTTTCATACACCATGCCTCTCACTAGTTGATTCTGCCTCTTTTTTTATAAATTATATATATTTTTAAAGATTTATTTATATAAGAACTGGTGTACAGTCAGAGGTGTGGGAGGGTGAGAGAATTCACCAGAGACAGAGCAGGGAGCAGAACAGGCAGACGGACTGAAGATACTGCTGAGGGAAGCAGCAGGCGAGACAGGAGAGGTCTGCTGTGCCATGTGGGTTTCTCCCTGGCCGGCCGGGAATTGAACCCGTGCTGCAGAGGCTGCAGACAGCTTCATAGTGCGGCAATCAACCCTCTGTGCCACTACAGAGGCCCTGCCTCTTTTTTTTTTTATAAGATTTATTTTTATTTATGCATGTAAGAACTGGGTTGTAGCGGTGCTGGAGGTGAGAGGATTCACCAGAGACAGAGTGGGGAGCAGGACAGGTGGA